CAAGAACCATTCAATTTTTCCATTATAAGTGAAACATTTCCAGTGGGGACACAGAGAGCTGCCTCTCAACTTCCTATAATTTCAGAAACTTCTTATGCTTAAGAAGTTGTTGACAAGTTCTTGACAAATGCAGAGCAAATTTATTCCTGGCTTGGAAGTGGAACTCAAAGCTGAGGGTTCTGTGATGGTTTCAGAAAAGCTAAATCCAGACTCGTGTCTCTCGATCTTTGGAGGCTTTGATATTTCATAGGCAGATGAAAGGGACTAGAGATCTCCGTTTTCTCCATGTCATCGTATGGACATTTTTGCTGATGTCATGATTTCGAAGATGAGTAAGGTATAAAGTAATTTTACTGGAGTAACGTAACTGTGGATGATCTTTGTTTCCCTAGGAATTACATGCTGGTGAAAATCAGATCGAAATACTAAATGCAGAGAATCTGAAGCATCTGAATTCCCTCTCTGTATTGGAACTTAGAGACAACAAGATAAAATCAGTTCCTGATGAAATTACTTTGCTTCAGAAGTTGGAGAGACTTGACCTCGCCAACAATGATATCAGTAGGTAATACTAAGAACTGCATGTGTCTGTGATGAGGCATAGCTCATGACGTCTACTGACAGCTGATTCTACAGGTGATGTATTTCACTTGGTAAAACGTAGTTAGAAAAGAACTCTCATAAAATGAAGGAGCCCTTTCTGTATCATGTAAAGGCTATGATCAAACTGTGCCCTTCTTAAATGTGATATATTCTGTATCTTTTTATTTGAACCTGAGCTTCAGAATACCAGGCCATCTGACAAACCATTGCAAATTCTTTAGAATTTGGTTTAAAGCTGTTTTGAAATGAGTTGTTTCCATTTGCAGATTGCCTTATACATTGGGGAATCTTCCTCAGTTGAAATTCCTGGCATTAGAGGGAAATCCTTTGAGAACCATTCGAAGAGACCTTCTGCAAGTAAGCACTATAGACAGTATATAAATTTGGTTATGGTGCGTACATACATTATCCAAATTGTGCAGCCTAGCCAGAACATTAAAAAAGCTAGAAAACACCCAGATTTCAAGTAGCCTGTGCAATTTTAATCCATCTCTTGTTCATGTGTACTGTGGTTTGGGTACTCTTTCCACTGGAGTCTGATGCAGTGCATAAGACCACGAGGACTGTGGAATAAAGGAGGTCGTTGGTTTCTAGGACCTGTTTCTGATTCGCTGCAGAAGTTGTAATATATATTGCAAATGAAACAATGGACATCTGGGAAAAGAAGGATAAGGCAGGCATCTGCTGCCTAATCCTGTTGCAATCACGGTTCATTGCAATGCTAGGCGAGTACTTGACATCAGTCTTTTCCTAGATGAGCGTGGATTTCTGTTTTTCATTTTCTACTGACCTGAATTAAGGATCTAGGATTTCCAAAGCTTGTTTGATGGCAGTTGCATTTTGAGCAAAGACAATCTGATGTACTATGTTTTCTTAAGGATAACCTGCACCTCAGGTCTGCATGCTCTTTGTGGGTAACCAGCAAAGTGAGGGTGTGAGTTGTGCACGAGAAAACAAGTACGTAGGGCAGCAGGGAGGCTGGACCGTGGGCATGACTGCTGCTATAAAATTCCCTTTTATTTTTTTTCTCCAGCAGGCCCCTCTTCTCATTGGTGATATACATTACTTCTTTCTGTGCTCTTGCCAGTTTTATAAAATAAATCTTTGCACAGCACTGGGATTCTGTAAAAATAAGCAACACTGAAGGCTCTGTTGAAATGAAGTTTTGTAATATCTGTCAGAAGAGGGGAAACATCGTGTATCTGATTAAGTGAGCGTTGTATGCACTAAACTAGTGAGCAGGGGTTCCCTGAGTGGAAATCATACATGATTCCAGAGCTCAGAGTTGGCTTAAAATGCACGTGCAAAGGAGTCCGGATAGGATTGCCTGGCTACTTTAGTTCTGGTGTTCCCTAGCTTTTGAGGAATTGCTGTCTTTCAAATGTAAGAGCATAGATGTGTGTAATTTCTTCTGTATATTTCAAATTTGTAGCAGACGACAGGTAAGGATTCCATTATCACATTTTATACTGATATTGTCTTGATCCATTACCAGCACTATAAATTTATATAACTAGAATATTATATGCCTACCTAGATTTTTTTACACTTGATTTAGAGGAGTAACTGATAAAGCTTGTAGGGTTCCCCAGGCACTTCTTAGCAGCTTGTGAATGCTGAGACTAAGGATTGGCAAGGGCTCAGGGGGGAGTATAGCCTAGCAGATTGTCCTCTTGTCCATCCCTACTCCGTCTCATCTTTTCCTGTTCCTCAGACTTCATTCTTGTCCCAAACCCATTCTTGTTTCTTGATAAATTTCCAGTTGTCTTCTGTTAAATCCTAGTCTCTCCTTTTTGCATAACATACGCTCTCCTGGCTGTTGAGCTTTGACTTGTCTCCTTTCCTTTTCACGCAAGCCATGTGACAGTTACTCAGCTTTCTGTTTGGCCTTCACCTTTTCCTCAGAAGTTTCCAGGTTCTTCCTTACTGGCTTCTCTCGTCTTGCTCAGCTCAGCACATGCCATGCCTAGCCATGCCTGCAGTCAGTCCCAGTCCCCTCCCGCCTCTCTTAGTCTTTTGTCTTCTGTTTCTGTTGTCTCACCAGGCTGCTTCTGAGAGTTCCTTCCTTTCCCACTTCCATGTTTCCTTTATTCCCTCTGTATTCAGATCAGTCAGTCTCTTACTGTGTGTAACACAGTTGTCAGCTAGAATGAGAGGTGTTAATTCATATTCAGCACTTCAGGTCAGTCCCTGATTTTAAAGCATCAAGGAGAAGGATGTAGAATTATAAGGAAAAACAGAGCTTTATCCTAAAACAAATGGGCTGGATGAGATTATGCTTAATTACTCATAGATTATGCAGATAGTGACTGTCTTTGCCTACTGGAAGTTGCTATGAGAGAATTGAAAGTCAAATCTTTGGAGAATCCAGCTGTTAAAAATCCATGCAAATTATGTAAACCGCAGTGTTTTTCCCAGAGTTTGTAATTTTGGACATAAAATGTTACCGGAACATCGAACAGTCAGCTTCCTTGACAAAATTTAAATTCCTTGTCCAAAGCATAATTGTTTTAGACCTTTTTAAAGAGAAGATCAAGTTAATTTGAACGTTTTTTCCTTGCTCTTGGGGCTGGCTAACTAGATAAAAAGCTAAAAACGCAAAGCCTGAGGTAGTGACATGGGATTCATAGAATCCCAGACTGGTTTGGCTTGGAAGAGACCTTAAGCCCATGCAGTCTGTCTCCTTGCCATGGGCAGGGACACTCTCCACTAGACCAGGTTGTCCAAAGCGCCATCCAAACTGGCCAACCGGAAATTTTCAGCTGGAATAAATAAAAGTGTAAATAAGCAGGTTCATAAGCTGCTGCAAAGAGGTTTTTTCTACAGGAAGCATTAGGTGGCTTTTGTAGTCAGCAGTGCTATGGGCTCCACTGAGTGACTGGAATTGTTGTCCTTCATTGTCAAACAGCTACATAAACACTGGCTGGCGAATGCTTATTCACCTTTTTTTTTAACTGTTTTTAAAGAAAGGCACCCAGGAACTTCTGAAATACCTAAGAAGCAAAATCCAAGGTATGTTGCTCTATTGCATTGTATTTTAAAGAGAATCTTTCTAAGAAATTAAATCAGAACCTATGGAGGGTAGATGTTTCAATACAGTTTCCTTCAGTTATCCTGCAATAATAGAGCTTTATTCAAGAGTTTGCTCTTACATTTGTGTTGTTTCTTTTTCTTATTCTGTTAGGTAATACCAAAGAAAAAACATTTATTATTGAGGATTATAATTTAGAAAAATAATCTTAAGTATTTTTTCCCTGATCATCATGGGAAGTTTCCATAAGGGGTTCTTCTTTTTAAGCGTGCCATCTGTCTGCTGGCTTGGTCACAGTATAGAAGAGCAGGTGATATTTTGCAAAGCTATTATGTATTATTCATGTAATAACATAGGCAGTACAGTCCTGTGATTCCCAGAAAGTATGTGCGTGGAAAAAGTCTACCTTAGAGTCTTGGTGATGCCAGGAAGTCTACCGTGTAGCTGACTAAGAAAATACAAGTTTTGGGGGAGAAAGTAACTGATTATTTTAAACATCTTTCTAATCCTGGCCTATTAGAATTCATCTTTCTACCATCTAATAGTCTTGATCCCAACATTCCCTATATAAATAATAAAAAGTCATAATGCAGAAAATCAGGTGAAGTATTCCAAGGCAGTTACTTCTCTGCATAAATGCTGTATGTTTTTGCAGAATCCTGTCTTGGATTCAGAGCTCTGCCTCTGTGGATTAAGCAGCACCTAGATGACCTTTAGAAATCTTCATCTTTCTTAAATGTTAAGACATAAAGTAGGCAAAATGACCCAGTTGACTGGCCATGTTCAATATGATACGGAAATGATTACACTGTACTTAAATGGCAAATAAATGCTTAACTTCTTAATTCAGAAGGGATCTTGGTGATAAGTGTAGGCAACTTTCATTGAAAGGGATACATGGGAATTTTCCTCTTCTTGAGTGGGTTTTCTCTCCATCTGCCAGAGGATGGCAGTATTAATTAGGGTACTGCAGCGTAAAAAATTGCTTTAAAATGTCAGGTTCCGTGCAAATCTGACGTATTATTAACTTCAGAAAAATTAATTGGATGCTACAGTACATACTCAGAAGCTTATCTGGTGAACTATAACAGATAACATAACTGTGGATAATAAAATTCACTAATGTCTTGCATGTACAACAATGTTCATGATTTTACTCTACCTGTTATGGCATGTAAGTTGGAGCTAGAACAGTAGCAGTCCTGTTTCTGTAGAGGTTTAAACTGGAAAAAGGTCTCTTTCTAGCTTGTTTTTGGCCCTTTTGACTTTTCTTGGTGCAAGGATAGCTAGTTGTGATTAGGTGCAATTGTTACTAGACTTTTGTTCATGAATGGTGCTCAATTTCCATAGAGTTTTGTTCATTTTCTTTTAGTGGAAGTTGGATTTATCATGGGTGGACTTAGGCGTAGGTGAATCCCTCGGGTGTGATGCACACCTCAGATGTGCAAACGATGGTTTTAATCTGCATTTCTTTTAATGTGCATTTAATCTACATTCAAAGTAGCCTTGCAAAGCCAATAGCTGTTTCATGTGGATTGTAGATAGCAATCAAAAGGAACTCTACAGGGGAGAGTATGATGAAGGTTTATAAATATTAATGTTTTAACTAAAATTATGGTTAGATTTGCTGTTCTGTATATAGATGATCTGGATCATCACTTCTAGCCCGAATTCCCTGTTTATCATTGTTTCTAGCTCCCCACCCCTTGGAGGCTACTGCCTGACTTAACAGCCAGCTACCGCTACCACAACATCTCTGTTGCTTCCTGGCCATTTTTTTCAAAGTCCAAGTCAACCCCTCTTCCTTCCACCCCCCAAAAAAACCAACCAGAAAACCAAGATTATAAAAAAAAAAATACAGGAAGAGTTAAGAAGGGTGATGGCAGGTGACAGGGACACTGAGCTCTCCATCTGGGTCATTCGGAACCCCACATCTGGCTGCAGCCTGTAGTTTGTGTGACTGTCTATGTTTGTGCTCTCTAGATGATGTAACCAGCCCAAATGAAGAGCCTCCTGTGACAGCCATGACTCTTCCAAGCGAGTCAAGGATTAACATGCACGCCATAACCTCACTAAAATTATTGGAATATAGGTATGTGCTTTGAAATATTACCTATTTCTGAAGTTGTAAGAAAACTTTCCTATTTTTTGCCTTTTTATTTTTACTTCATGATATACACCGAACTGTCTGCAATCCTGCTGCATTTGTGCATTTTTCACTTTAATTTGTGTGCTCAGGAACAGGCAGATTTGAATTGCAGGGTTTTTTAAATTATTTCTTTGTATTATCAAGTATTCCACAGTAACATTCCTTTTAACTCACCAAGATGCTTAATGCCTTCAGGTTCCTTTAGTAGCTCTTAAACTTCTTTAGCGATTATCATTAAGTCTCAAAACATCTTGTGGTAGGTGAGTATCTCTTGAGTTATGTCTTAAATCTCACCAACAATGTTGCTTGTTAGGTTAGGAAAGGGAAATAAAGACATTTTTGCTGAGAGCTGCCGTGTGAAATGCATAGTCCTGCTGGGAGCTGGAATGTGGAAAGGGCTGGGATGGCTTTGGTCACCACAAATGTTGAGGAGCTCCAAAAGGAGGAGCTACCCGAGTTCCATGTCACTGTGCTGCAGCTGTTATCTGAGCCAAGAGGGGAAATCTGGTCACTGCCAACTTCGCTACGCTTTGTGGCCCAATATGCAGCATTCACACATTTGGTGAGATAGTGACATAACTCAGCTCCTACCGATTTTTCTTCAGCAGGCGCACAGATCAGGGTGCCGGTGTGGTGTTACTGCCCAGGTGCCATGTTATGTGGAGCAGTGATGGGTAGCTTTCTGGTTAACAGTCCTTCAAGGACTTCAAATTGTAGATATTTATATATCTATTCTGCTACTCTAAAAGAAGATGAAAACATCTTGTTAATAAATAGGAAATGATTAACTTGTTTGTGTTACTCAGCTAAATGTTTTTCGTTGTGTAGTGAGAAACAGGCAGCTGTGATTCCTGATGACGTGTTTAATGCAGTCAGAAGCAATCCTGTTGCCACTGTCAACTTCAGCAAAAATCAGCTGAAGGAAGTTCCTCCGAGGTACTTTTGTAAAAGTTGTTCTCTAGCTATTACTTGCTTTTCTGCTTTCGTTCCTCAGCATCTTGTGTTTTTCCCAGTGAAGTATATTTGCACTTTATGCTATGTATGTGTGTGTATACGCTCAGACACACAAATGAAAGTATAATTGCAATGCTGTATAACACACTTGTGTTTCTAGTACGAGCAGCATGCAGGCGGGTTCATTGATTAGCATGAGGATTGTAGGAAAAAGAAGCTTGGCTATACTCAATGGTGCTTTCATTACGTGGTGGTGTTCATCTTGCTTTGCTAAGCGTTGTTGAAATGAATGAGGGGAGACTGATGTGACTTCTCATAATAATGAAGTACTGTACTTAACTACAGCGTAGTATTGTTTTCTCTACAAAGTGGTCTTTTCACCACTTTGCTGGGTGATAGCTTAGTACTACAGCTGAGGTTGTATTTAAATTCAGTGTCTTCAGATAGCATAATTGGGGGGGGGTTAAGGAAGCCCAAACGATTTCCATGCCCTTTTTTTGATAGGTTTTGTGTCCTATCACGTAGCATTTGATATTACTGCACTTGTTACTTCATCCACAGTCAAGGAAAAGCTTTCAGTTGACACTCATAGGAATAAATAGCCTTTTTGTGTAAGGAGGAAGGTTACTGCATCTCTGGTAGCCCAAGAAAATAACGAAAGCTGATTTTTAAGGTTACCACCGCATTTGTGGGGGTTTACTAGGACTCAAGTGTGTTGAACATTTAATCTTTAGCACATAGAACTTGAAGAGATGCGATCTCTCTCTCATAGGGAAAACTCTCTTTTCAGTACAACCTGTAGCAAATCAATCCAGTGCGATAATGCTCATGCCCGCCCCCCCCAGCTTTTCCGCTCGGCTAGAGGCTGTTGCGTTCACTGGGGATAGGTGTAGGTGTGCGGCTGCTGGGTGCCAGAGAATTCAGTGGCAATCCAGATAGGAGAGAAGAGTGCTTTCTCATTTAATTACCTTTTGGTTTTAAGGCTGAACCAGAGATTCTGTTAGAGGGATTCAACGACTAACTTTTTGAGCTTCTAAACATGTTAACACCAAAGCATCTTAATAACATACCCTTTTACAAGAAGCAGCAAACGCTGTGTTTCCTGGAATTTGTAATAGCAGGTCAGTGGAAGAGGAAACAAAAGGTGGAAATAAAATAACAATCTCTCTCTGATTGTTTGACTGCTAAAGAAGAGTGATAGAGCCTTATTGTTAAACCGTTCATGGGGCAGGAGATGACAGTGGTGGCTATCTGTGCCATAGTTTTTGAAATGCCTCTTAACTGCATTTAAGTGAGTAGGCTTTTGTAGTAAAATTTGCTCTCCTAATCAGTGAGAGAAAATTTACTCTCCTAATAACTTTAGAAAAGTGGTTCTGAGCTTTGTCTTTACCTCAGGTGTAAGACTCCAGGACAGGCAGCTTTTCCATTGTCGTCACTCCACAAAATTGCTTCTGAAATGTCAAGAAAGACAGTGTGTCCTTGATTTGTAGAATAAAGCAGGGTTTTTTTTCTGATAGCTTAGAAAATAGAATGCAAATGTGAGCTTACCTAATAAAAGTATATTCATATTGGGTTTCAGGATTGTGGAGCTGAAAGACTCAGTCTGTGATGTCAACCTTGGCTTCAATAAAATCTCATCTATTTCCTTGGAGCTTTGCATGCTCCATAAATTGACACATTTGGATATCAGGTTTGTGACGTGTGTTGGACTTCCTTCCTTGGTAACTTATTTTCATGCCTTTTTAAACCAGCCATCTGTTACAGTGGAATAGCAGTGCTGAAATAGTTTTTCACTTCCCAAAATGCCTCCATAACAGTCGAATGACCGGCAGATCTGCAATAGCAAGTGGCCTAGATTTAGGCATTGGTTAAAGAAAAACGCAAAAAACAAGCAAACAAGCTCTGAGACTTGCTGTGCCAAAAGGTCTTGCCTCAGTCATAAAAGGCTCTCAGAGATGTTAAGTTGCTATTTAAAAACACACCACCACCACCCCGCTAAAGAAACCCACACCCAAAAAATCCTGGCGGATACCTGGGAAGTAGGTGAAGGTACAAACCCTGTTATGCTGCCTGAAACTGAAGCTGTCTGTAGGTGTTTTGTGTGCAATATCGTTAGTTATTGTCATTTTGCCTTCTCTAACTCCTGAAAAATGCTCATTGCATTTGTTCAGACATCAGGATCAGCTCGCTGGCGTTTTTACCTTTGGTGTTTCACAAAGTGAACGGTAGCAAAGGGCAGTTGCAGAGACGGGTTTTTACTTTGTTTTAAAGTGATCTGCCTGTGCCTGGAGGGAGCCCAGCGAGGGGCCACTGAGATGCTGAAGGACGGGAGCATCTCTCCCGAGAGGAGAGGCTGGGGAGCTGGGACTGCTCAGCGTGGAGCAGAGCAGCTCAGGGATCTCATCCTGCGTACAAACGCCCGCAGGAGGGTGCAGAGAGGACGGAGCCAGGCTCTGCCCGGTGGTGCCCAGGGCCAGGACCAGAGGCCACGGGCACAGAGTGACACGCAGCAGGGTCCCTCTGGGCACCAGCGAACCCTTTGTCACTGTCAGGGTGCCCGAGCGCTGGCACAGGGTGCCCAGGGAGGTGGTGGAGTCTCCATCCCTGGGGATATCCAGAACCCAACTGGACACGGTCCCGGGGGGTTGGACCAGGTGAGCTCGGAGCTGCCTGCCCACCTCAGCCACTGTGACACACGTGCTGCTGATGGAGGAGTTGGGCTGAAGATTGCAGAATGGATGATGGGATGAGATTGATGAGGTTGAAGCGCATCTTTTAGTGAGTGGTCTTTATTTTCCTGTAACGACTCTTTGTGTCACACTCGGGAAATACCTTGTTTGTCCTTACAAACCCATCTTCCTTGTATTTAAGAAGCTTCTGAATGGCTTCCCGTTGTGGGAAACACTACAGTAACAGTACCACAAATGAGTGTTACAGCAGTTGGATACCCAGCTAAATGAGTTTTGAAGAGGCTTAGAGGTATCCTACTGATTCACTGTAGCACCAAGATCTGGGCAGTTTCCTAAGCTTTCCCCTGAAACCTAAGGAGCAGAATTGCCAAGCGCGTTTCTGGAGTTGTTAGATGCTGTGAAATACTTGGGAATCTTTAGAGGACAGACTTTCAAATGTCCTATTGGCAGAAATGAGAATGCAAACCTGGCTTGCATTAGCAAGCATCTGTACTTAAGCATGGTCTTGAACCATTTATGAAGCAATTAATCCATTTAAGACAGCGTGTTAGTACTGATGAATATGCCTATTCAGTCTCTGTGGATGCTTAACTAAAACTTCATAGAAGTTAGTGATTATTGTTTGTCTTCATTTGATACACAGAAATAATTTTTTGACATCTTTACCTGAAGAAATGGAGGCACTGACAAGACTGCAAACAATAAATCTTTCTTTTAATAGGTGAGCAACTACTTAGATTTCGGGTTTTTTTAATGCAGTAATAAAAAAGAATGGGCCGAATTCAGTATGATTTTCCTGTGACGTAAGAATGAGGAGGCGCTCAATCATCTAGCTGTGAGCGTGAGACCGATGAAGTGAATATACTTCTTTACACAGCGGGTGGTGTGTTTTTGGAACTTTCTGCCACAAAAGTTTTGGAGAGGGACAGTAGCATCTGGTTAAAAAAGGGATTAAACGGTCTTGTGAACAAGATATCAAAGAATGGATAGCGCCAGGACTGCCCTTTGGCACCCGTCATGCAGCAGCTCTGAACGATGGCGGAACAGGAGGGGAATGGTCGGTGGAAGCAGCCGAGCGGTGTCCCTGAAGGTGCTGCTGATGCTCGCGGCAGGGACCCAGCGCTTCCTCTGACTCCACAGGGTGTCTCTGAAGGGCAGGAGAGAACTATGGGCCCTTGTTCTCCTCCTTTACCCTGGTGAGTCGCGTTCTGTGTGACAGCCAGTCTCGTAAAATGCCTGCAGTTCTGTGTGAGGGGCTGAGCTGTCGCTGTGCACGGTTTGTTCAGCTTTCTCACGGTGTGCAAGGTACAGTAATCAATACTTTCCCCTTTCAGAGCAGTGCGTTTAAACATTTACCTTAAATGAGCAAAGCTAAACTGCTGTCTGATTTGAAAAGCTGCTATTTTTCTTTGAGTTCCCTATTTCTCACTTGCCTTGGTTTGCCTCCTTTTTTTTCCTGAAGGTTTAAAGTATTTCCCAGCGTCCTTTATCGCATCCTAGCACTGGAGACGATCCTGCTCAGTAACAATCAGGTTGGGTCTGTAGACCCACTGCAGCTAAAGAAGATGGAGAACCTTGGAACGCTGGACCTTCAGAACAATGACCTCCTCCAGGTGCCACCAGAACTTGGGAACTGTGAAACTCTGAGGTGTGTGTTTCAGGTGGTGACCTGGCTTATAAAAATACATCCTGACTGATTTCTTCAGGGTACGTTCTGTCAGAGGAAAAGTACTAATCGGCAGTGTGTTTGTAGATCTCGATGCACAAAAAGGGTCTCTCACCATTTGTAAAATAATGCAATGTCTTCTGTATTTCCTCAGTATTGTGGAGAATTAGGGGAGTTGTTTCCTGATTGTAAAAAAAACTGGAAAGGTTCTGTTGGTTTGTGTAAATCCAGTGTCGGAGCCTAAGCCAGATCCCTTGCTGTGCGCAGACACGGTGCTGGTGCACCTGTAAACAGGCCGGGCAGGTCAGGCCTGGAGCTCCTTGCCCATGTGTCACTCGTGGCTCTTGGGGACAGGATAGCGTTCTCTAAACTGCGTCTGGAGAGAGGCGACTGAATGTCCTTACATGATGCACGTCCGGGAAGACAGGGGCGCGTAAGCAGCCCGTCTTGTCAAAGACCACAAATGGCTGGTCCCGGTGGGTTCCCCTTTGAAGTACACTTTCCAAGGAACTTTAAAAATACAAAATAAAGCACCCACTTTCCCCAAGCAGAACCCTCCAGAGATGAACGTACCAAAGAGCAGCGGGCTAGCAGCTAAGCTGGAAAGCAGAGGGTTATGATTTAACATAATTTTCCCCTTTTATTGTGCCATTTCTATATTTCAGAAGTTCTTTTTCTCTTTCTTCTGGCAGAGGCTTGCTGAAGATGTATGTGTGCATTGTGTGTCTACAGTAATATGCCACTGCTGATTTATTAGCAGAAATTAAAACTCGGATGTCTCTACGTTAGTGTGAAGTAGGGAAGCAAAAATTAAAATTCTTTTAGTGGAACAGAAGAGGAATTACTTACGAATTTCAAAAGATTCAAAAATCTGTGTGCGGTGTACAAATGTGTTGGTACAAGGCAAAGCCTTTATATGAGTCACTGGAAATCTCTCTTTTTTCTAGGACACTTCTGTTAGAAGGAAATCCGTTCCGCACTCCCCGGGCGGCCGTTCTGGCAAAGGGCACAGCCGCAGTGCTGGAGTATCTGCGGAGCCGAATCCCTGCTTGATGCCTGGGCTGTGTCCTTGCAGGCCCGGGAGCAGCGTTACCCGACCGAGGGGTTCCCCGCCTTCCTCCTGGCTCGTCAGCTGTTGGCTAACCTGGCCCGTCCCGTAAAGCATTTGTACTACTGTTTGTAGTTCGCACGTGAAGAACGAACTCCCCTATGAAATGTTTCCCCTCGAGGCTGCATGTTTCGAGAGTGCATTTAAGATGCCACCATACGTGTTCACACTTTTTGTAATAAAGAATGCTGTTGACAGCTGCCTTCACTAATAGTGACAATGTTTTTTCTACAGTTAAGCTAATTTTTAAAAGCAGTGTCAGCACCACGGTATTTGAGCAAAAGGCAGAACTGGCACCGATTTTTGTAGCCTGTTCTGTGATCTCTGTCAGGTACGTGGTCTCTTCACTGCTGCCTCGGAAAATGGGCTCTGCTCGGCGTGCGATGACACGCTCGGGCCCTTGAACTGTGCTCTGCTGCGGCGAGGGCTGGGTACGAGCTGTACCGCAGGCTGCGCGTCGCACGTGAAGGAAAGTGGGCCGGCTGTCGGTGGCTGCACTGACACAACAGCGGTTCCTGTTGGATGTACGCTTCGGGGCGTTCCTTCAGCACCTACTGTCACCAAGTTTTCTGGCCAGTAACATTTAGATACTTCTCATTTTTTATGTAAACACACTTCCAGGTCCTGAAATGATAGTGACGCTCCGTGGATAGCAGTGGCACGAAACGGCGGGCAGCTCGGTGCCGCCTGCCCGGGGACTGCAGATCCCTCGC